ATCCCGCCTCTCCAGCCATCGGTTGTTTACAGCAATGACTCCTGTCCCATTTCCCTATCATACCTAAAGTATGAATAGAGTTTGCTTCCACAACCTGTTCCCCAAGTGCATTCCATTTTCCCACTACTCTCACGCTAAAAGAAAACTTCCTAACATCTCTGTGACTCATCTGAGTTTCCAGTTTCCACCCATTTCCCCTCCTTATGTTACTATTACGTGTGAACATTTCATCTATTTCCACTTTGTCAATTCACCTGAGTATTTTATATGTTCCTATCATATCTCCTCTCTCCCTTCTTTTCTCTAGTGTCGTAAGGTTCAGTTCCCTCAGACGCTCTTCATATCCCATCCCTCGTAACTCTGGGACAAGCCTCGTCGCAAACCTCTGAACCTTCTCCAGTTTCCTTATGTGTTTCTTCAGGTGGGGGCTCCATGATGGCGCGGCATACTCTAAGACGGGTCTCACGTAGGCAGTGTAATGCGCCCTAAAAGCCTCCTCACTTAGGTTTCTGAATGAAGTTCTGATTTTCTGATGAAGTTTCTGATGATTTTCTAATGAAGTTCTAATCTAAGGTGTGTGTGTGTGTGTGTGTGTGTGTGTGTGTGTGTGTGTGTGTGTGTGTGTGTGTGTGTGTGTGTGTGTGTGTGTGTGTGTGTGTGTGTGTGTGTGTGTGTGTGTGTGTGTGTGTGTGTGTGTGTGTGTGTGTGTGTGTACTCACCTAGTTGTACTCACCTAGTTGTGTCTGCAGGATCGAGCATTGACTCTTGGATCCCGCCTTTCGAGTATCGGTTGTTTACAGCAATGACTCCTGTCCTATTTCCCTATCATACCTGGTTTTAAAATTATGAATAGTATTTGCTTCCACAACCTGTTCCTGAAGTGCATTCCATTTCCCCACTACTCTCACGCTAAAAGAAAACTTCCTAACATCTCTGTGACTCATCTGAGTTTCAAGCTTCCATCCATGTCCTCTCGTTCTGTTACTATTCCGTGTGAACATTTCGTCTATGTCCACTCTGTCAATTCCTCTGAGTATCTTATACGTTCCTATCATGTCCCCCCTCTCCCTTCTTCTTTCTAGTGTCGTAAGGCACAGTTCCCTCAGGCGCTCTTCATACCCCATCCCTCGTAGCTCTGGGACGAGTCTCGTTGCAAACCTCTGAACCTTTTCCAGTTTCATTATATGCTTCTTCAGATGGGGACTCCATGATGAGGCGGCATACTCTAAGACTGGCCTTACGTAGGCAGTGTAAAGCGCCCTAAATGCCTCCTTACTTAGGTTTCTGAATGATGTTCTAACTTTTGCCAGTGTAGAGTACGCTGCTGTCGTTATCCTATTAATATGTGCCTCAGGAGATAGATTAGGTGTTACGTCCACCCCCAGGTCTCTTTCACGCGTCGTTACAGGTAGGCTGTTCCCCTTCATTGTGTACTGTCCCTTTGGTCTCCAATCACCTAGTCCCATTTCCATAACTTTACATTTGCTCGTGTTGAATTCTAGTAGCCATTTCTCTGACCATCTCTGCAATCTGTTCAGGTCCTCTTGGAGGATCCTGCAATCCTCATCTGTCACAACTCTTCTCATCAACTTTGCATCATCCGCAAACATCGACATGTAGGACTCTACGCCTGTAAACATGTCGTTAACATATACAAGAAATAGAATTGCTCCCAGCACCGATCCTTGTGGTACTCCACTTGTTACTGTTCGCCAGTCCGACTTCTCGCCCCTTACCGTAACTCTTTGGCTCCTTCCTGTAAGGTAGTTCCTTATCCATTCTAGGACCTTTCCCCCCACCCCCGCCTGCCTCTCGAGCTTGAACAGCAGTCTCATGTGCAGTACTGTATCAAAGGCTTTTTGGCAGTCCAGAAATATGCAGTCTGCCCAACCATCTCTGTCCTGTCTTATCCTCGTTATTTTATCATAGAATTCCAGAAGGTTTGTTAGGCACGATTTCCCTGTCCAGAACCCTTGTTGATGTTTGTTCACAAACCTAATGTTCTCCAGGTGTGCAACCAGTCGCAGCCTAATTATTCTTTCCAGTATTTTACAGGGGATGCTTGTCAGTGATACAGGTCTGTAGTTAAGTGCCTCCTCCCTATCTCCTTTCTTGAAGATCGGCACGACATTTGCCTTCTTCCAGCAACTGGGCAATTCTCCTGACATAAGTGACTCATTAAAGATCATTGCCAGAGGCACGCTGAGGGCCTGTGCTGCTTCTTTTAGTATCCACGGTGATACTTTGTCTGGTCCAACTGCTTTAGTTGCATCTAGAGTTGTCAACTGTTTCATTACCTCCTCTGCTGTCACCTCTATATCTGATAGACTTTCATCTAGGGTAACCCCTTCCAACAATGGGAGCTGCTCAGGCTCGGTAGTGAACACTCCATGGAAACTGGCATTCAGTGCCTCGCAGATTTCCTTGTCACTTTCAGTATATGCCCCCTCTGTCTTCCTTAGTCTTGTCACTTGGTCGTTCACCGACATTTTTCTTCTTATATGACTGTGTAGTAACTTAGGTTGTTTTTTCGCTTTGATTGCAATATCGTTCTCATAGTCCCTTTCCGATGTTCGTCTTATGTTAATGTAATCGTTCCTAGTTGCATCTGATCCTGTTGTCCTCTGTCCTTTGTCTTCTGTACTTCCTCCACTCCCGTCTGCTGGCCATTTTTGCTTCCTGACACTGTCTATTAAACCATGGGTTATTATATTCCTTCTTATTTTTTCCCTTTACCGTTGGTATAAATCTCTCTTCGGCCTCCTGGCATTTCTGTATGACTAGGTCCATCATATCTTGGGCTGTTTTTCCTCTAATTTCTTCCTCCCACTGCACTTCACCCAGATAGTCCCTTATCCTCATATAGTCCCCTTTCCTATAGTCAGCTCTCCTTTCCCAGATCTCTTGTCCCATGGTCATAAGTTTGAATTCCATCATGTAGTCAAAGACTAGGACACAATGGTCACTGGCCCCTAGAGGTATTTCATGCTCTAAATTCTCGATATCTTCTACGTTCTGGGTGAAAATCAGGTCTAATAGGCTCGGTGCATCTCCTCCTCTTTCCCTTGTGTCTTCCTTCACATGTTGTGTCAGGAAATTCCTGTCTATAACATCTACTAATTTTGCTCCCCACGTTTCGTCCCCTCCATGGGGATTCCTTGATTCCCAATTTATCTCTCCATGATTTAGGTCCCCCATGATCAGCAGCTTCGCTCTCATTCTGTGGGCTAGTGTTGCTAGTGTTGTGTGTGTGTGTGTGTGTGTGTGTGTGTGTGTGTGTGTGTGTGTGTGTGTGTGTGTGTGTGTGTGTGTGTGTGTGTGTGTGTGTGTGTGTGTGTGTGTGTGTGTGTGTGTGTGTGTGTGTGTGTGTGTGTGTGTGTGTGTGTGTGTGTGTGTGTGAACTCACCTAATTGTACTCACCTAATTGTGCTTGCGGGGGTTGAGCTCTGGCTCTTTGGTCCCGCCTCTCAACTGTCAATCAACAGGTGTACAGGTTCCTGAGCCTACTGGGCTCTATCATATCTACACTTGAAACTGTGTATGGAGTCAGCCTCCACCACATCACTGCCTAATGCATTCCACCTGTTAACTACTCTGACACTGAAAAAGTTATTTCTAATATCTCTGTGGCTCATTTGGGCACTCAGTTTCCACCTGTGTCCCCTAGTGCATGTGCCCCTTGTGTGTACATCCATGTGTGTACATCCATATGTGTGTGTGTGTACATCCATGTGATTTCTCTGTTTTCTCTTATTGAAAACAATTCTTTGATTGTTTGCCTTAAGATCCCCAATAATTATGACTGCCAAGTCTTCTTGTCAGCAGACATACCAATGTCTGTTTCGTAGCCTTATATTTGTCCTCATTAACTTCCATCGGCCGAATTAGAACTTTTCAGAATTTATGTCTACATTTGTTTGTATCGTCGGCAAATTTTTAAATGTCTTCAAACATGAGGACCCGAACCCGTCTCGTGTTCAATCCTGTTTATCAGGTCTAACAGAACCCATATCCTCGGAGAAGAGAATAAAGGGCATTCAGTAACATGTGTGGGGAAGAAAAGAGGTACCAAGAGTGCCACCGTGGCACTCTGTATCGGCCACAGGCGGCCTTCCTGTGCCTGTCCACTCTCTCCTGTCCCACAGACATGACCTGATCACGTTCAGGACACCAAGCAATACCAAGCTCCTCCACTGTGGCTGCGACACACTACACAACTTCGGAATCTCTCCAATATGAACCGTTTAAGACATTCTGGACAAGAATGGGGTCGACCCCAACCCGTCCTCTGTGGAAGGCAGCACGAGGCGTCTCAGACTATCCTGGCATTAACACAAGATGGAGTTTTAAGGGGTTTATGTGATAATATTTGAGCCAGAGGTGACGCCTGTGTGGCGAGGCTCTGGGGACACGGAGCCTGCAGGTACCTCTCCAACACGCAGCCCTTCAAGCTACGTTGTTACCTTTGTACAGGGAGAGTACTTTGTACTGCTCCCTTTGTCGCTGTGTAATAAGTACAGGAAGTGTGAACTTACGGTGATGGAGGTTCCTGTAGGCCAGCTACTGGTCTTCGACACGGTGCCACCCACAATAGTTGTTGAGCTCCAGAGTATCTATTTAACTACTTGGTGAACAGGTACATAAGGAGAAAGATGATACGTGCCCAGCTCCTTTTCGTCCTGCCTGGGTACTGAATCTTGATCTCTCGGTTGTGAGCCGAGAACGAAGACCACTGTGTTACAGAATTCAAAACAAGATTATGACACGTTGTCATAAGTTGTGGTGTGTCATAAGTTGTGGTGTGTCATAAGTTGTGGTGTGTCATAACCTGTGGTGTGTCATAACCTGTGGTGTGTCATAACCTGTGGTGTGTCATAACCTGTGGTGTGTCATAACCTGTGGTGTGTCATAACCTGTGGTGTGTCATAACCTGTGGTGTGTCATAACCTGTGGTGTGTCATAACCTGTGGTGTGTCATAAGATAATTACCAGGAGTCCTCACTACACCACTAAGACCATACAACACTCACCAGGACCACCAGGACAAGCCGCTGGCACGGGAGCACAAGGACCTGAGGTATAAGACTCTGGTCCACGTCAACACTGACCTGCCACGACACATAATGTGGAACCCAAACACAGGTTTACTGCTTCCTGTAAACTGTGGTCCACCAGGGCGGTCCACCCGGGCGGTCCACGCGGGCGGTCCACGCGGGCGGTCCACCAGGGCGGTCCACCCGGGTGGTCCACCAGGGCGGTCCACCAGGGCGGTCCACCAAGGCGGTCCACCAGGGCGGTCCACCCGGGTGGTCCACCAGGGCGGTCCACCAGGGCGGTCCACCAGGGTGGTCCACCAGGGTGGTCCACCCGGGTGGTCCACCAGGGCGGTCCACCAGGGTGGTCCACCAGGGTGGTCCACCAGGGCGGTCCACCAGGGTGGTCCACCAGGGTGGTCCACCAGGGCGGTCCACCAGGGCGGTCCACCAGGGCGGTCCACCAGGGTGGTCCACCAGGGTGGTCCACCAGGGCGGTCCACCAGGGTGGTCCATCAGGGCGGTCCACCAGGGTGGTCCACCAGGGTGGTCCACCAGGGCGGTCCACCAGGGTTACTATGGGCCTTAATTGTATCTTTTTCTTCCAGGATGAAGCTGTTGGTGATTGTGATGAGCTGCGGGCTGCTGGCCGCGGTCCTCGGTGAGTGTGTTGAGTACCTCGAGATGAGTGTGAGTCTCAGAGTGAGTACCACTCTCCCAGGGTGAGTACGTCTCCCAGGGTGAGTACCTCTCTCCCAGGGTGAGTATGTCTCTCCCAGGGTGAGTACCTCTCTCCCAGGGTGAGTACGTCTCTCCCAGGGTGAGTACCTCTCTCCCAGGGTGAGTACCTCTCTCCCAGGGTGAGTATCTCTCTCCTAGGGTGAGTACCTCTCTCCCAGGGTGAGTACCTCTCTCCCAGGGTGAGTACTTCTCTCCCAGGGTGAGTACGTCTCTCACAGGGTGAGTACTTCTCTCCCAGGGTGAGTATATATGTACCATGTTTAGTTCATGGAGTTCTTGGTGAGCACATATGGGTAATTCTGAATGAGGAAATGTTACACAGATGAGTATGACTGTTACACAGATGAGTATGACTGTTACACAGATGAGTACCTCTCTCGGGCACAGAACACGTGGATGAGGATGAGTAACATTTTCTAACGTAATTATAAACCTCTAAGGGTGAGTAAATACGACTCACCAGTGAACATAGGGTGAATAGAGTGAGTCACACCATGAGTCCAGGGTGGGAATGAGTCCAGGTACAGACGGACGGTTCGATATCATGAGTAACTACAGCCCAGCCGTCTAAAACGATAGCGAAGATATCAACTATTTGCCAGAAAGTACAGAAGTATATTAACTGTGTTCAGGGCACGATATCATAGCCTAAACCAAATGTAAAAATTGTTAGGCCTTGTATGGCTCATATGTGTACCCTATTAGGCCTAAAATAGCTTATTTTATAGGCCTAAAATAAGCTATAAAAAGCCTATAGGCTTATTTTATAGCTTATTTATCTATAAAAAGCCTATGGGCTTTTTATAGCCTATATAGGCTTTATATAGCCTATAAAAAGCCTATACACTTTTTATAGACCTAAAATAGCTTATTTTAGGCCTAAAATAGCTTATTTTAGGCCTAAGGTTTCTAGTAGAGGCTTGGTTCTTTAGTTATAATTCATTTTTTAACATGCCATTTGTATTCAAAATACAAAATGTGAACTTTGGGGGCTTACAACAGTCCATTTTTGTACGTTTGACCAAATAGTCGATATTTGTACTATTATTTTATGGGGATGGGTTGATCAACAGGTGTGGGAGGGAGAACCCACACCTGTTCCCCTTAGAGGAGGTGCACATGTGTTGTCTTGGCCCAGAGCAGAGCCACTCACCCCTCCCTCCCTCCCCCTGCAGGTGTGAAGGAGGAAGACGCTCGCCTCATCGCAAGAAGGTCCACCAAGACCAACGTGATCTTGACCACCACCACCACCATCGTGCCGCTCACCTGCCTCAGAGACCCCTCCGCCCTCCCCTGCAGGAGACGCCGCCTCCGTCGCTACATCCCGACGGGCGCTGTTAATGACGACGCCCACCTGGACCAGTGAGTACATCCCCTGTAACCTTCCTGGCCAGCTCTTAGGCTCCTTCTCCCTCCATGTTTACACTCGGCTTGTGTAAAGTGCGTCTCCAGCTCTCTCTGTTCACCTTGACCAACCCGTCCTCCTATTAGAACGTCGCATTTTGACGTATACTCTTCCTACGGCCCAAAATTGTCGTACTAGAAAATGTTGGCGGCTGGCGAAATCTATAGTCTATGACGGAGCGCACATAGGCTGTGTACATCATTTTAAGCACGGCAATAGAGGCTCCATGTCCATTCTAGGTCATAGCTTTCAGTGCCCTGAGTCGACGCTTGCCTGTTCCTATGAGTTGATTGAGCTCCTCTTTCTTCCCCTTGTTAGAGCCGACAGTGACGCCAAGGTACCGATAGTGGTCAACCCATTCAAGTGTTACACCATTAATTTGTAGTTCTTCATTTTCTCCCCACTGAAATTTAAATTTAAATTGAAATAAGTTTATTGATGTAAAATACACACAAAGGGATGAGGTAGCTCAAGCTATTCTCACCCCGTTCAGTACTTCGTGTTAATACATACATAGACACACATCACAAACAATAAACATATTACCAAACATTCTGAGAAATTAACAACATTATTGCCAACAGCATTTGGTGTTCCCAGGCAGTTACCCATCCAAGTACTAACCAAACCCAACGTTGCTTAACTTCGCTGATCGGACGAGAAGTGGTGTTCCCAACGTGGTATGGCCGTTGGCTCTCCCCACTTGTGATAAGAGTGTTCTTTTGTCTTGTTTGTGGAGAGAGTGAAACAGAGTTCAACACATTTCCTTCCAGGGAGTTTAATGGATTGTTTATTTTTTCCCAAGGTGGGAGCTTGTATTGGGACATAATCTGCATATCCCACTTGTTGTGTTCCTTCTGGAAAATCAATATTTGCAATGGCGTTCATAAGTACATTGAATAGTGTAGGGCTTAAGACTCCTCCTTGGGGGGTCCCGAGTTCCATATTCATTGTTCTGGAAACTGCTCCATTGAAGCAGACCTCGGCTTTCCTTCCTGTGAGGTAGTCTTCAACCCATTTCATGAGTCTCCCCTTGACACCCATGCATGCAAGCTCGTCCAGGATCGCAATCCCCTGTGCTTTGTCGAAGGCTCCTTTGATGTCAACCAATACAGCGTACCTAGCCGTGTCATTACAAACTTGTTTAGGCCTTCAACAATCTTCAAAATGAGACTTTAAGAATTAAGATCAATACAGTAATAATTACGATAATAACCAAGTTGTTATGACAGGGAAAGTGTGCATTGATGACGTCACTAATTACATACCCACAGTGACGTCATAGGTATCGTATATCTGTCGGGAGCGTCTAAGGTCTAAGGCCAACACCAGGCCAAGTAGTCACTAAATCCCACCCTTAGTGACTCCCACCCCCCCTGGGCACAGCACTATGCTCCCCCCCTCCTGGGCACAGCACTATGCTACCCCTCCAGGAGACACAGACGCCACCCCAGCACCTGACAAAGCTCTCCTCCCCAACAGGTCGCCGGAGCTGTCCGGGACTCTGCCAGTGCAGGAGGGAGCGCGGGAGGGCCGGGTGGCCATCACCCTGGTCACCTACGTGTCCAGCACCTACACCGTCACCTCCACCTCCGTCAACACCGCCGTCACCTTCTCCCTCTCATACTACTGCTCCGCGCCCAATGCTGTCGTGCCGCCCACCTGCGGCTAGACGCACCCACTGGCGCCCACCACCTGCACCAGTGGCTGCCACACCACTCAGGCCTCCGTGGCGTCTTGGACGTGTCGTGGACGAGTTTCAGACGTGTCTTGGACGTGTCTCAGACGTGTCTTGGACGTGTTACGGACGTGCAGCTGAGCTGGATGAGAGTCTTCACTTGACTGAGCCTCAGCCAAGTGCTGTTAAGTGAGGATTGTTGGTCTTAATGATGACTGGAGCTGTGAGCTGAGGAATTCATGTGTACTCATACACTTACACTGACTCTAGTCAGTGTAAGTGTATCATGAGTGCCTCAGTATACTGATTATTCTAACCTTATACATAATACATAACGAGGGGTCATAATGTAGTGCAAAATACACACTGTATACACTCTCGCTTGTTTCATTCCCCAGACTATACACCGTGGCGTGAGTCACTGTTCATGTATGATGTATTTAATCCTTGTTGTCATACTCTCTTATTTGTTCTATTAATTAATGTATTTACCATCAGCATATAAATAACAATGAGTCTATTAACCACTTGTGTATAGATAGTTTCACTTCCTTAACAGCCTCTCAGGAAATTGGGTTGTTAACGTTTGGACCAAATTTCCGGGTGAGGTGAACGATTCCTTGATTGTTTCAAGTGTAGGTTTGACATATATATGAATGAGTTTGGGTGGATATAATATATAGGAGCTGCCTAGTAGGCCTACAAGAGCTGCCTCATTTGAACCAATAGGATCCGCTTTGTAGAAGTCAATAGGAAG